TTAATTGGAAACAAATGCATGATAAAGAACTCTATGAAATGTTCCACCTTTGTGTCAAAAGAAATCTGAACAGCTGTAACAAAGCAAACTAGGCCAAGGCCTTGACTGCCTGCCGTTCAAAATGAACAATAAGCCTCAGATATAAGTTAGATTTAAGCACACAGAGAAAGAAGTGGATTTGAGCATTGCACAGGTTCAACAAACACAGTTAAGATCTTATGACCCAACATTTATAGTTAAATTCTAATTTGCTATGTCATGTCATTTGCCAAACCGCTTTATACCATATGGAATTTGCAAGGTTTAAACCCAAGAGGCACAAAACCCAAGTGTGCCAAGAGGAAAAATAATTTACTTCTCTGAATGTGATAAAGAATGAACATTGTGGTAATGGGGGAAAAGCAAACCCATTCTTTCAAGCTGTGCAAAACAAAATTCAAAGAACAAGTAAAAATAACAATGATTGAAGGTAGTGCGTTAATGGTTTGATCATGCTAGGAGTATTTTTTCCAAAGACGTCAGTGCATCATACGGTTCTGCCCAGAGAAAGTGGCTGAAACCCACATGGTGCTGATCAGTCCGTATAAAGTGTAGAAGCACAAAACACAGCCGACACGGACACTACAAGACATTCCTCTGTTTGGCTTTACGCTGGAAATTATTAGAGCATGGAATAAATTACCAAGCCACGGTTAAGAGGCAGGGGTCCTGGGTTCTTTCAAAACAAAGGCTGACAGTATTTTGAAAAATAAAAAGAAGTTAACAAATACGCCTGACGTCGAGTAAAGCAGAGCTTACAGAGGAAGCTGGCCGGCTATGATAGGCAGAACGGCCTGCTTTCATCATCATATTCATGTGCGCTTAAATTCCTTCCAAGTCTCAAACAGAACAAACAAGAACACCACAAACATAGCAAGCCTCCTTCGGTGTGCCCCTTTTCTATGAAAGTCCTTGAACCCTAATTACTGACGAAAGTGCTGGCAGGAATTTCCTGGAGTGCACAGGACTGGAGGAGCCTCAGATGGGGATATTGTATCCATCATTACTTGTGGGTCTGTGTGACTGGAGAAGAAATATTTTGAAGAAAACACAAAGCAGCGACCCCTTGGCAAGCTCCTGAATGCCTGGATTTTGTTTGGTTTTGCACATTGTCAGGACTGAATCCCTTTGACTCGGCTCCTGCAGCTCTCCTCTAAAGAATTCCAGTCTCATGAAAAAGTGCGACAGGCAGGACACTGTACTAAACACTGTAATGTTAGGATTGTCTAAGTAATAAGAGCGCCCATTCAAAAATGATTATTTCATTTGTTAAGAACCAGTTTCATACGACGGGGAGATGGGCAGGAATGTAAAACAATAAAGGTCACACATCAGAACTTTGCTATAGCTAACGCAAATGGAATGCGCTAACTATCATCCACTCAAGGCTTTCTTAATGAATGTGTTCTTTTGTATAACGTTTCATAAAATACCAAGTAATGGAAAATTAAGTAAATCGGTGAGGCCAAAAAGCAACTTTTTAAATCCAAGTAAAATTCATTAAAATCTCTCTCATTACGCGAGAATGATGAGCTCTTTCCAATAGACATCCCAAAAGGATTTTTTTCCTATTAAATTGATATTGTTACTCGTATTTCCTTATAAGGAAATACATTTCTTTGCGGGCAATAGTAAACAACATTGTTTAATCATGCCACGTCAACTCTTACATCCAAATGACTCAGAGGCAGAAACTCCTTAAACATTTGTGGAAAATATTTAATATTACTCTGATACAGGAGTGGCATAACAGTGACCGCACTGTTGAATAAACGTGCAAAATAAATGTGAAATGTCAGTAGCAATGTCACTCCATCAAATGCTGTAGTATTGTCAGAGCATTTAAACAGGTACTTTTGTATTGATCTAATTTTCTTTGATGGAATGTAGATTTTAAAACCCCAAATTCTTTAAAATTTACAAAGGAAGAAAAGTATAAGCTGGATAAATTGCACTGTAATCGTCAGCATCTGTGGAGAACATGACACATTCCAGCCCATCTCTTCCCACTCTGTGTCCATAGATCCAGATGAGAATGACTCTGCCTACTGGGCCACTCGTCACCAGGCTGAATCCAAATGTGCCGAATTCAGAGTGTCAAATTATTTTATGGCTATAGGTGTGAAGAACAGCTGACATTATCGAGACCTAGTGCTTTTCTTTTATGATGTACATTCACTTTAAAACCAGACCTCTGGGATTAAATTGCTTGATGCGGTGGAATAACTCACAACTCAAACACAACATAAGAGATCTCAAACCCTGGTCTTTGGAGCCCTGATCCAATAACTCTTCCACATCACTCAGCATGTGTTTAAGATTAATTAGATTCGTAATCTAGTAATTAAAAATAAACTACACAAATAACCCATGTAATTAAATGAGACCACAGGTGGACCAAACTCTGCAGATAAAGTGTTCATTCAGGAATTTACATGTCACAGCAAAATAGGTTAGTGTTTTATTATATGTTCATATTATCCAAACAGCAATTTTTGATTAGTTCAGGTCCTCTATTCACATAAGATATTTCCCCTAGTTTATGATATTTTATTATTAACAACAGGAGAGGTGATTTGCTTTGATGTGCGTTTGTTTTTCAGCTTTTCTTTTGAAATAGCAAAGACGAGAAGCCCATCACCGTTAGCTGAGCTGACAATAGCTTTAAGAACTTTCCACTGGATGGCCTCCGACACAAGCCATCCACTGCGTTTCAGCTTACAACTCGACTGCCACAGCCTCGCCTAATAAACTCCATTGAAATAATGAAGTTATTGCCCTGTGCTATGTTAAAAGAGATCACGTTAAAAGTAAGAAAATCATTTCCATCTGTCTACTGCATTTCTTTACACAGTGCCTGTAGTTTCTGCCAGAGCCATCCTGCTGTTAAGATGTGCCAGGAGTTGGAAGCCCTGGCTCTAGCAAAGGCTTTTGTTTGTGCCTAAACATTGACAGGGCTTAAGATCAGTTACACAGGAAAGTACAGGCCAAGCAGCCCATCTAACCTATGTGGTAGTTAGTAGTTAATCCACTGATCCATTCTGTCCACATGTTTCTCCCGAGAAGCCGGGGTATCAGTTTGAACAAAATGGCTGGGGTAGCCTGTTCCGTACTCCCACAACTCTTCTGGGTTAAAAAGTGCCTCCTATTCTGAATTTTAGATGCATTTTCCCATCGTCCTAATTTGTCTCCTCTGTTTCACTGGCGATTATGAAGAAATCCACTGGGCAGACATTGTCAATGCCTTTGAGGATTATGAATACTAGAATCAAATCATCTCTGTTCAAGACTAAAAAAGCTCTGTTCTTTCAGCCTATCACTATAGGATATTCCATTAACTCCCAGAAGGTTTCTGGTTGTTCTTCTCTGGTTTGACGGATTCCAGAGCAGCAATATCTATTTTATAATGTGGTGATGAAAACTGTAGACAGTATTCTAAATAAGGCATTACTAATGCACTGTACAATTTTGCCATAACATTCCTTGACTGTCTATGCTTTTTAACTATCTAACATTTTTTCATTGCTTCTCCACAATGTCAAGATTGAAAAAGAAGCATCAACATAAAAATCTTAGCCTTCTTCATACATAGTATCTTTTCAGTGTTTCCTATTTTGTATTTATAATTTATGTATTTTAATGTTATCTAATTTTAATGTTTTTGCTAACATATGCAAAACCTACACTTATCTACCTTAAACATCATCTGCCAGGTGTTTGCCCAGGCTAGAATTTTATCTAAATCTTTTTAAATTTCATTTGCTGCTTCTACAGTGTTTGCTAATAATCCTGATTTGGTATCTACAAACCTGACTAGTAACTAAACAAAAATCTACATCACTTATATAAACTTAGGAAGAGCAAAGAATGCCTACTATCTGCAAGTGGAGAATTAATGCTTGATAAGTAACTTCATCAACTTTATCAAAAGCCTACTAAAAATGTATGTTATATTATACACTTTGTATGTATCCGTTAATGTTGTTGCTTGTTCAAATAACTTTAACACCCAAATATTTTTGAAATCCATGCTGACTATATCCTAGAACATTATTTCTACATAGGTGATCCTCTAGTTTAGTTCTAATATTGTTCGCCATAAAAATGAATCCTATCGAGACATATTATCCTATGATTACGTGGGTCAACTGTTTCTTCCTTATCGTGGATGGGTGCTACATTAGCAATTCTTTGGTCCCTCGGTACTACCCCTGTATCGAGGATCTGTTGGAAAAACTGGATCAATGACTTCTGAATAACCTCTGTTTCTTAGAGTATGACTTGTAAGACACCATTGGGACCTGGGGATTCATTAATCATGTTTTCTTTCACTTATACAAAATTGGCTTCTCGTATGTCAACACTGTTGAATACGGGACTTTGTTGATCTGCTGGCTGGCTTTTTAGTGAACACTTGGGATCAACTTAGCAGATGAGCCATTTCTCATGATTCTATTATGATGTTATGATTTAAATTGTAAGGGTTTGAAAGTGCATCCATCTTCTAAATTGGTTCTAATCATCTTCTGATAGAAAGCACCTCCATAACCTAGGGCATGCATTTTTTTCTTTTTTTTCTTTTGTGGAACAATTGTGCTACCTTTTTCTCACTAAGCCATTTTCACAAAGCTGGTATTGGAGTTCTGCATTGGATTAAACTGATTTTAAAAATGCATGTACTATCCGGAACAATGAGATCCAGACTCACAGTCCACCCCCAACGCCCGCCAATGAAACTGCACTGCAAGAGGGTCCTACCGTCTTGGTCCCGTGCTGCAGTGTAATCTCGTGTGTGTCAGGGATTCGCTTCACAGGGTTCTGAAACAGAGAGAAAATACTGGAGGTTAACAGGTTGAGAGAATACACCCCGGACATGCACAATTACACAGGATTTCATTAGAAAACAATCAAGAAATTTCAGAACAGGCTACCAAGAGCAGGAGGCCTTTCAGCTCATCGCACAACCACATTTTCGAGAGCAACAACACAGAAATTCAAAGACATCTGGACATTCAAGTGCTTTAAAGGAAGAGGGGAAATTCTTGACCCATACTAATAAAATCTTTGGTGTTCATAAACCCTATTCCTGTCAAGTTTATTTCTTCATGGGAGCTGTTTAACTAATCGCATTGAAACAGCTTCAAAGGCAGTTTAACCACAGCCAAAGTGAGGTCCTGATAATGATGAGATGGTGATTTGCAGAACTCATTGTTTAATATGATGAAAGCACAATGTACAGAACAGAATAATAGCTAACTGCACATACTGTACATAACATAATATGCATATACATTGTAATACAATATATTTTTGCTCTCCTAATTTCCTATTACATTTTTTAAGCATAACCAATTGGTGTTGAACTGCTTTTTGAGGCCATGCCCTGCTACTAAAGAAGACCAAGCTCTCACAAATCTCCGAAGAAGTTTATTGCTCACCCAGGATGCATCCCACCCCTGCTAACTTTACTCTCGTTTCTGCTGAAATGAGAGACCATTCGGGCAGAAAGTCAAGATCCGCCCGAGGCGTTTGAGTGGTTTTCTCTGAATCCCAGGGGACGGTGTCCCATATTCGTTCGTCCTCCACCACACCTGGCCGGAAGCCTCTGCTTCCTGCGCTCAGATGATGTCATCCAGCGAGGTGGACAAGTCAGTTAACAATCAATCATCACGCCCAACGCAGGCTCCAAGCTGAAAAGCTGGGATTTTCTGGAGCCTGCACATTGTCAGCGGCAACTGGTCCTGTAGCTAAAGAGACATTTATTGTAAAGGAAACCTGGATGTGTTTGGTCACAACCACATTTCTCAGAGTGAAAATAGTGTTATGCAGCATGGTGTGCAAAAACGTTTTTTTTTTCCTGCGAAAACACCAAGAAAGAATTTTATTAAATAATTATCAATAGTCTAAGGTGCAGTGATCAGTTTTTTTTAAGAAACTAGACTACCGTCCTACAAAATACTGACTAAAATGCCAACTCTAACACATCCAATTAAACTCCCTTCACTGCAAATGGTCTGGAGATTAATGGGGCGGCTGTGGTTTTGGAGTTCTGCGAGTGGAGTTTTGAGTTTATACCGAAGTAAAACAAGAACAGTGAAGTAAACCGAACATCTCTTCTTAAAATCAGAGATAATACAAGCAGGGGATTTGGCTTTAGTACCGTTGTGGGTTTTACTCCCCACATTCCCTTCCTTGTGAGCAGTCTTTGGCACTGCATTGCGGTGACCCAACGTGTTTGAAACGTTCCAACAACAGAAACCGGTCTGTCCAGACCAGATGTTGAGTGGAGCTGCCTGCCTCTTTCTCTCGGGTCTTGGAAGTCTCCTGCGAGAAATCAACATCCCCCGTCCATGGAAGATGTGTTATTGCTGCATTCCACAGTAGGATATGACATGGGTTTCAGATTTATGACAAAACAGTTGCAGCGCCAGGGGGAGGGCCCATGTTAAGAAGAAATCTGAGTGATGGAGGCTTCATCTTCCATTATGGGAACATAAAACTACGTTACTGTATCGTCCGGACCATGGGATGGGATAAACGACAGAAAATACTAACTACACTGTTTTGTGACCTGCAAGCCGAGTTTAAACTATCATCAAGATAGAAGACACAGACAAAACATTCTTGCAATGAGCATTCTTAAAATTGGTTTCACCGACTGAGAACTGAACCTGGGCGATGGAGGCAAGAGTGTCGAATCCCCATCATTACTTGTTCAGTAAGACTGAAACCAACTTAACCAATGTCTATACATGATTTTCTGTATCTTCTGTAACTTCATGTAACTTTCTTATTTGTCTTGGAAGCTCTTCTTCTTAGGATCTGGGCAGCACTCAACCTTTATGATGTCCTTAATGGAGCACAGCCAAAGCCCTGCGCAGCATTGTCTCGCAGGCAAAAGCCGTGAAGAAGTATCAAAATATTTCTGTCCACCGCTGTATTTCAAAGTGGCCCACCTACATTCATTCAGAGAGAATCCAGCTCCAATACAGGGAAAAAAGCAATACCTTGAGGTGTTGTGTCCACGCAAAAACCACCACCAAACGCTTTACTGTATATTAAGTGACTTATATTTGCAACCATTTACAAAGATAGGTTTGTAGCTAGAACAATGTGGGTGGAGTACCTTGCTCAAGTATCCAACAGCAATGTCTTAGCTTTAAGCAGACACTTTCAGCAGAAAGTACGTCCTAGACCTGCAAAAATACAGGTGGCCAGCAAGCCTTTGTTGTAGACGAAAGTGGAGGATAATCCTATTTAAACCAGCCCCAGCAATGCTTGGCCAATTAGGTACTGGTGCTTCTGAATTACCCATCACAGTAAGCTAAGCCCATGGCCTAGATTCAGAACAGTAATCACTAAGGCCTATCCTATGCTTTGAATAAAATATTTACTTGTTACATGACTGAAAAAGCCTAGCATGCGCTATGTTTTAGCTTTTCCTATTCATCATTTAAGTCTCAAAATCCTTCCTCTTAAAGAACTTCCAGTCGAAGCTACTGTTTGTCTAACATGTAGGAAACGTCTTGGAGAAATTGCCAATCTGACAGCCCAGTCGTTGAAAGGACAGAGGCAATAGGTATTTTATAAAGTAACTAAATAGCAAAAAATTAAAAACCAGAAAAAAGAGCATTACATCCTCAGTTTTAGGAAGGAAAGACTGCTTCCTATCATAGTCTTACAGCTGGTTCCAAATCTGTTATGCTTTGATTAGCAATTCTGTCAAGCAGGCAATTAATTTCACCCCAAGTGACACAATGTAGCTGTGATATCAAGAGTAACATGAACTGGTACAGTGACAAATTGTGACATGACTGTAAAGCGCTAATCAACCAATTAGAATGTAATGACTTTACACAGATGAGAGCCTTTTAGAAAAAACAGTGAGAGTTTAATTTTTAAAAAATAAATTAGAAAAATAGAAAATTACAGCTGTAAGGAAGGTAAAATGAATTTCACAAATATCACGGCCCATAAAACTCTGATATCACGCTCTAAGAGTCATGATTAATTTGTCCCCAAAAGTTATTTCATGGCAGTAGGAATGATACAGGATGCAAAAGACACTTTATTTCTTCAAATACAGCACTCTTGATGTGACCCTGCGTAGGGTTATGGCTCTATGTCAATTCCTTACTACGGCACTAAAACACTTCGGGACTGATGTCCCCCACTGTAACAAAACTCTGCACAAAATGACCAGGTATAAGGAATTAAGGAAATAATCTTTTAAATCAGTTTTGTTATATTAATTTTTGAGCTACATTCTGGAAGGATCAAATGTCATTTGCAATCTGTATTACTTATTATAGAAATAACTTCTCACTCTCAGCAGTTAAATGTAAGTTTTTCTGATTATTAGACATGCATTATTTCTTGGTACCAGTCAGACATATTTTGCAATATATTTCTGAAAAAAATAATGTTTGAATGTGAATATATTCTCATAATAAGCCTATAAAAAAAAAATATTGTTTAATGTTAATACACCATACCAACACAGTCAAAACTGTAGTTTCTGGGTAGAAAGTAAACATTGTCCGTTTTCAAGGCATTAAGTGTTTCCATGTATTTTGGACTGCAGGTGCTCTAGCAGGGCTAGCACCAGCAGAGATGGTCCTTCCAGCACAGAATTTATAATGACTCGGTAGTGCCACACGCGACAATGCTCTCTGTTGTTTTACACAATGAATTCTGACCTGGTGTTTCATGTGACTTAGCATTTTGAAATGTAGGGGACACACTGTTCTTCACACCTAAAATGGTAAAATGGTATTATGGCTTTAAAAATCGAAGAAGCCTGTGCAGGGCTCTTGGGGATATGCGTCTCGCTTAATACCAACATAGAAATGTATAAGTATATATAGTGTAGATATGCAAGGAACAAGTAATAGGTTTATTCCATGCTGAAAAAAAGAAGAAAGAGAACACAACGTTTCGGCCATGGAGCCTTCTTTGCAGCCTACTTAGCTGACGCAGCTACCCACCTGAACTATAGTGTAGATATGATATACTGAAATCGTAACAGTATTGCACACAAAAAAATCATTTGTCATACACAAATATAACACTGTGCTTAAAGGCTATTAAAAAAAAACTGCTTGTTTCCTTGGTTAGGTGAAGTAAACAGTTAAGTGCAGTTGAAGAGGTGCAATTAGGTTTGCTAGCTGTGTCAGAGTGTGTGCTGAAAACGAACAAGTACAGGTTAATTCCAAGGTGAAAGGTAAAGAAAAAATAAGAAAAATGACATTTTGGCTGCAGAGTTTTCCTTACATGTACACACGTGTTTTTTTTAACCACAAAAGCCTTACTCCTTATGAAAATATTGCCTCCCTCATCTTTTCTAAGGTGGCCAGTCACTTCAGAAACAAACCTCACTGGCACACATTCAGCCATGCTGAGAAGGAGTTGTGTGAAATTCGCCCTGTAGAGCACAGCAGAAGGTACGTGGCCGATTAAACGCTGCTTTTTCTTTTCCAACTGGAAGCAAGTGGCACATCGTAAACACTAAACAACCACTTATGTGCAGGAGAACACAAGCACACTTCACTGCCAACATTCAGGCCTGGAAAACAGTCGTTCACTTTCTCAGGGTCTTTTGCCCATTTGGCAGATCTCAGACCATCTCCTTTTGACACTTTGTGCTCCTTGCACTAGTAGAGCTTGCAAACCAAATACAAAATCCAAAGCGAGGAACTTCTCACATTGTTAGCTAGTGCAGGTGGAGCCTGTGTCACCAGGCCTGGAGTCTGACTCTTTTGGCCTCGTGTTTTGGAAGGGACAGAAACTCAATATGGCGACCACAGACACTGTTCTGTTGGAGTTGCTGTCCTTCAGATGAGTTGTTATACTAAAGTCCACTTGGTCATTTAAGCTCTTATGACAGGATCTGGAAGAGCTGTGGAAGAGAGGGGGTATAACCCCAGTGTCCTAGCTAAATTCCACTCTGACCTTGTACAATCTAGGCTACCTGCAGTTCCACATCAATTCAACTGATGAAGCAACTGCTCATTTCTCTGCCAGATCTGCTGATCAGTGGGGCTGCTGCACCAAGATCCTTTGGAATAACAAAACAGCCATATAAATACAATTAATTCAACCACATTCATTATTTGGGGCACCACTGGTACTGAGTCTTTGAGATATGTGGCTGCTGGGCTGCCTGTCAAATGTCATGAGAAAATCATCCCAGCAGACCTGCAGGATCTTTCTCAGGCATCTATCCACACGGAGTAAGGGTCAGGGCACTGGACTCACTAGATGGTTGTGGGCTTGTATTCCCACAGTGGTGCACTGCTGTTGTACCCTTGAGCAAGGAAAAAATGGGTAGATATTGAAAATCGAGTCGCTTTGGATAAAAGCATCAGCCAAATAAGAACAACCTGCTTTCAAAAACACAGAGACAATGTCTTCGATGGGTAAAAAAAAAATAGGGATCCAAGATAAAACTAACAAGAAGCAAACGCATTTTTCATAATATTAATTTTCCTCACCCTCAGTCCCTCAGAGCACAAAAACGGCACAAACCATCACGCCACAATCTGAGCCTCAACAAGGAGTTGAGCCTTTTCATTAATTGAAAAGCTTTTTTTAACCCACCATCAAGCAACTGGATACACGATGCTCTCCTCCCTGGCCACTATTTCATCTCTGATGTCATTTATCTAGAAGAAATTAAGTCAAGGTGTTGGAAGAACTGAACTGAGCTTCATATGCAAAAACTGAAGCATCCCAGCAAACCTCTGTGTAAATAAACCTCAGGTCAAATTGGAGCAAAATTACAGTTAGGCACTGCTGTGTGTATACAACACGGGAAGTGATATTTAGTGGCTCCCTTTGAAATAAAAATAACATACTTGGGACACCAGATGAATCATAAACCTTAAACGTTTTATGACCAAGATTACAAACTTGTAATTTTTTTTTAGCCACCGTCACAGAAGTGAAGGCAAATGATTTTTAAATCCCTACTTTTGTGTAGTACCCAAGCAACTGGATTCCTATCTGTCATATAAACATGCTGCCCCCATGTGGCCAAAGCTCAAATTGTTTTTTCCAGTTCAGTTCACACCTGTAGAAGGCATCAAAGCTGCACCTGAAATTTTGTTTCTCTTTTCCGTTTTTCAGCATGGAATTAACCTTCACCTGTTCCTTTGCAGCCAATAAACTCTGATGCAGCTCCCTGCTTGTACACCTGTTATAACTATGCCGCACTGTGAAATCACTTAAAGACTCAATAATAGATGATGCAGATTCCCTTTGAATCTTCCTCAACTGAAGCTCCAAAATTCTTGAGCTGCTTCTACATCTGACTTGAACAGCAAGCACAACTCAGCACCTGCCACGCGAGGCAGCTTTCTGCTCACACTTCAGACACACTGGCCACTTCACAGCCTTTTCAGCTAGAAAAAGAAGTGTATTTGCGGAGTTTATTTCTTAATTTAAATGATTAAACTGGAAACAAATTGGGATTTAACACACACAGTACACGAGAGACTCCCAGCTATCAGCAAAACTGCAGTTTCACAATGCAGAATTTTTCCTTCTCGCTATTACTATCATGCGTAAAAAAACAACAACCTTCGGACACTCATGTAAGGGGTAAAGACACGCATTTTCTCCAGCTGGGACATAAATCTAGGAAGGAAGAAAGCCGTGCTGCTGGAATGATAG